GTTCGACATTCCTGCATCTCTTCTTCTTCTTCTTCTCTTTTCTGCTACTTCGGCTACAGTAATTTAGCTTTCACCAACATTGGATTCTTAATCTATCATTGGTATATCCCAACAGTCCAGAACTTGTAATATGTAGCTTTGCTGAAATGGACCATTCCTTGAAGTTGTATTCATCCAACTTCACATTTATAATTTGAAAACTAGGGTAACTGGGATTCCCCATTTTAAAGAAACCCCATCCTGACCTGTTCTCTTCAGAGGTCACTTCATTGGTGCTTGAAGACATAGTAAACTTACTGCAATTCAGCATAAGTTCTTCTCAAAGAAGATGAGAGAAAAAAAAAAAAAACAAACTCTTAATAGCTTACAACAAGGGTGTAACAGTCCAAGGACAGTGTCTTCACTGTTAACATTCTCAGAAAACTAGTTTAGATGTGATGGGAGCCTTGAGCTGCAGCCTTTCTGCTGTCAACAGCCCAAAAAACTTCCTGGACTGTTACTTGACTGTCCATCTTCTAGACCTGTACATACCGGTCTCTCTAGTAGTTATAGTAGATTATTACCTGCAGCATGAGCTCCACTAGCTCATAGCCAACCAGCTTAGGATGTCCTTGGTCAAAAACCTCAAGGAAAAACCCTAGAGAAAAAATAAATTGTAGGGCATGGTTTCCGAGCCGTCGTTGACTTGGATGGTTGGACCATTCAGCCTAGAAACTGTCTAGGCAACCGGTTCCGTTTCACCCCCGAACCATTGTTTACCAAAAACCATTGACTTGGTCAGTGACCTGCTGACCCAGGTTGAATGGGGAAAAAGCTTTGCATCCCAGCCATTTCTTTCCAGCCCATGAATGCTTTCAATTACCTTGTCCATAGCCTGTCTCTTTCAAAGGGAAATCTCCACAACCATTTGTCTAGTACACATGTTGGGTGACAATCTCCACCCATTTGTTTATGGTACACATGTTGGGTGCTTAATTTTGTTGTTGTTTCATTATTGTATACAAATTTTGGCTTTTATTTTTATCAACTAGTAATTTCTTATATCATTTTGCTCTTTTGTTGTGGAAGGCTCAACCTTGAAGGACATCGGCCTCGAATTAGGCGGTATGCACATGGATTGAAAAAACTTATAAGAATTGGAAAAGGTGAATTGTATAATTATCATGTTCAACAATATCATTAAGTTATACACTATTTTTTTGGTGGCGATGCCATTTAGTATTATATATGGGTCTTTGGTGACATTTGAACTAATATTTGTATTGGACATTTTGGTTTGATTTATCATTTGCCATGGGGTAGTTGTTAGTGGAAAAAATTTTAGTATGATTTCTCACATAACATAATTTACCCAATTAGATTAATAACTGAGCATTTTTATATTTGGGTAAGTCCTATTTAGAATATCATGTAGATATTCCTTTAACATCTCTGCTAAGGTCAAAGAAAACCTCTTGATTCTGGTTTAGAAGTGTAATGATTGGAATAAACTAAGTAGAATTTCACTAGAGAATTTTCAAAGGAAAATTCTGGCATATATTCCCTCTTTATTTGAGAGAACCAACAAATATGAATAAATAAATTTTTTCTATACATAACAATTAAGTAGGGACGATAATAAGCTATATTTCATGAATACGGCTGTAGATGGCCTTTAAATAATGATTTTCTATCATGGTGTGAGGAACCATAATCAGCCAAATTTCATGGACAAGGCTGTAGATGGTTGTCTCCTTACATCTGTTTAAATGTGAGACAAGGAAGAAAAATAAATAAATAAATAAAGAGAGGGGTGAGAGGAGTAGAAAGAATAGGTATAGTCCTTCTCATAAAGGAGGTTGTAGAATATCATTGTGAATGGGTGGAGGTGGAACACTCCATTCCCTATGTTCGTCTTCTTCTTTCTTCTTTGTTCCTCATGTCCCTATCTTCTTCTCTTTCTCCTTTCATTTGTCTCCTGTAGCTAGAAATCCTATAAACATAATAGCATTAGCCCATCGAATGACATTAGTCCTCTCTCCTATAAGGAAAGGGGTATATATAGAGGAGGGGGGTGGTTAGGTAATTCCCCACCCATCTTTTCTTAGTGTGCCATGTGTTACCCTACTTAGAATGGCTTAAGGGAAAATAACCCTATTTTTCTTAAGGTGACTTGTGTCCCCCCACTTAAAATGGCTAACGGAGGGAAAAGAACCCTCTCTTCTTAGGGTGCCATGTTTCACCTCACTTAAGTGGCTAGATGAAGGAAAAGAACCCTCTCTTTATGATGGGACAGGTGGCATCCCTCTTATACAAAAAATAGGACACCTCATAAGATTATGTAAGTTTTGTTAATTAATACAAATTTAATTCTTTTAGGCCCTGCTGTCCCATTAAATGAGCTCTAGTACAGGCCCATTAAATGCCTAATGAATCATTATTAGGGCCTAATGTCTTTTTAACTAATCTAGGGCCTTCTGTCCAGAAGACTAGCTTGGGAAGAAAGGCCTTCTGTGATTGAGAGTATTTTCATAACCTGTTCCTAGTGCAGCAAATTTAAGGATTTAATACTAGTTACTCAACTCAACTAAGTATTATTCCAACTTTATGGGTTCAGCTACATGATTCTTGTTTCATCATTCTATTCTATTTATCAGTGTTAAATTGTTTCATCATTCCAAATTTATGGGGTCACCATGTCAATTTTTAAACTGTGAGCCCTCAAATCATTTCTCAATACTTTAACATGTGCTCTTTTTGGCTTGTCCCTAGTTTAGACTTTTCAACTTGCAATAGATCACTTCTTATTTGTATTGTAAGATTTGAACTGGACTAACAACCAGAATGCCCTGCGGATCCCTGGTTTTACCAGTTAAGCAGGCGGTTTGCCTATTCAGCCCATAAACCCGCCAAAACCATCATTTAACTGGGACCCGGAAAGGCCACTGGTTCCTTGTTTTCATGGTCTGACCATCCGGTCCGGGACAAGTCTTACAACACTGCTTCTTACTGGTGCCATGTATGGTCTTCTATTAATCCACATACCCTCATTTTATTAACTATTGGGTACCCCTAGGTTCCAATCAATATGCCCATTTTTTATCCTTTCTTTTCAGGTTTTACTGTTTTACTAAGTGGCTGTTACTGTGATGGTAAAATCTCATGCTGACAAGTGTGTATGTGGGTTTGAGTCTGCAAGTGGCTACTTTGTGTGAAAAATGATGGAGGTTAGGTCTGATCCAGTATGTCCATGCTAAGACTCTAGAAGTGTAGATAGTTGGGACCAGCATGCAAGGGG